AGCTGTCCCTCTCCCTCCCGCGGCGGCCCCCCCCCGACCTGAGACGGGGAGGGGCGGACTGAACCCGGGCGGGGACTGACAGACGCGGCTCCCTGGCCGGTCCTGGCGTCTCTGCTCTCGGGTTGTAACCCACGTGAACGGGCAGGAGTGCTTCACCCACGGAGAACGGGTCCCCTGTCCCTGCTGGCAGCTGGGGGACCTGGGAGACAGGGTCCAGGTCAAACGCCTTGAGCCAGCCCAGCCCTTGCGGCTCCTGCTTAGGATCTGAGGCTGGGACTCCAGCCCCCACGCCTCGCCTCTAACCCTGCGTGGTCAGGTCGCCCCTTGCCGTGGCCTTCCTGCAGCCCGCAGGCCAGAGGGATCGCAGGCTCCCTGCAGGAGCAACCCCAGGTTTCCAGTCCGCCCTGGAGGCCAGTGCAATTGAAGCCGCCCCCCTTTTCTTCTCTGAGGTCAGGGCCAAGGTGGACAGTAGCTGTCACCCCTCTGTGTTTATGGGCAGCTGCTGGCTGCATCAGGTCTGTCCTCTCTGACCCCTCCCTGCCCCATTTGTCCTAGGACCTGCCCTTCCATCTCATTGGGGGGTTAAAGGGAGCTGCCATCTATTGAGTGCTTACTGTGCAGACGTGTATTTCTCGTGTAATCCTCGCCACAGCGTAGCAGAAGGGTTATTATACCCGTCCTACAGCCGGCAACGGCTTGTCCCAAGCTCCAGGGATGGGGCACATGGATGGCTGGGCTTTGCTAACACGTGTTAAGTGCCTACTATGTACCACTTACTCCTCTGCTAACGAATGTTACTACATGATACCTATGAAATGAGCACTGTTATTCTTCTAATTTTACGCAGGGAAGCCTAAACCTCAGAAAGTTTAAGTAACTTGTTCCAAATCTCATAGCTCCACGTGGCAGAGGCAGGATTTGAATTCAAGTTCACATGAGCCAGAGACAGATCCTGATCTCCGTGCTCCTCTGCACAGGCGTGGTGCTGTATCGCACTGCTGTTCAGGGTTCGTGAAGTGATGCAGAGAAAGTGCTTTGTGTCTGGCAAGGGGCAGCCTGGTCGGGCAGCCTGGTGGGAGCAGCTCAGTCCGGCCGCTCCTGTGTGGGTCGGACCTGCGGGTGGGCGGAGTGAGGCGCCTCCTTGCTGTGCTGAGCCAGTGTGTCTGACCGGGGCAGTTTCTATCAATCCCTCAGGTGTTTTGGGGAGCAGAGATTGGCACCCACCTTCCCAGCACCCCCTACTCTGGTTCTCCCACCTGTGACTAAGCCTTCAGCTAACATGATTTCTATCTCCACATCTAAACAAAGCCACACCAGGCACCTGTAGATGACAGCAGTGGACAATCTGTTAATGTTGGTGAGACCCACTCACTCTTTTTCCTCCTTGGTGGGGCTCACCCAACACCAAACAGTTGGAGGAATAAAGAAGGATTTATCCAAAGAAGGATTTATGATCAGTAATGTATGTGGATCAAGACACAGGTGGTGATTACGGGCAACAAATTTAACCCCCATTGGGTTGTTGTGTGGGTTAAATGAGGTCAACTGTTAAAGTTCAGTCCATAGCACGTAAGCCATACTCGGAGAAGGTTAACTCTTATTACTAAGGACTTCACAGTGGTAAGTTAATGTTTGATATTAGTTTAGCATTTGTGATTTCTGGCCAATCACAGTGATGCTACTGTCAGCAGGAGATCTTCCGTGAAGTTTTGCTTAGAAACGAAAGGATACCGTCAGTCCCCAGGAGTCCGTTTGTGCTAGAGTCAGGTTGCAGGATGAATCACACGGGGTCAGCTCTGAGTTTGGAATGGCCAGCACCCTCCTGTACTAAACCTCACACTGGGCACAGGACAGTCACAATTTTACTCCCCCACATTCCCGGATGAGACCAGAGGTGGGTCTCCCTGTACCGTTCCTGGGCCGGGAGGCTTGAGGAGGATTGGATGTCAGTAGCATAGCCCTGGACCCGCCCTCCCTCCACAGTGTTTCCAGGACCTTGACTTTCATGTTTAGCCTGTGTTTCTTTCTTCTCCTGTAAAGGGGGAGGTCCCTGGATGGGAGTGAGAGTCCTGTCCTCTGCACCCCACTCCCACTCACCAGCAGACCCTATGAAATGAAAGCATGGAGACGACATCTTATGTGGTGTAGGACATTATGGTACCCACTGATTCTAATTCCCTGGGGAACTTTTTTACAATGCATGTTTCTTGCCCTGATGGGGTGGCTCAGGTGGTTGGAGCATCATCCCGTACACCATAAAGGTTGTGAGTTTGATTTCCGGTCAGGGCACATTCCTAGGTTGTATATGTGGTTGGGGCGCATATGGTAGGCAGCTGATCAATGTTTCTCCCCCTACCCCCAATAAATAAAAATATATCCTGGGGTGAGGATTAAAAAAAAAAGCATGTTTCTTGCTGATCCCAGATTCTGACCAAATCAGGATCTGGAGTGGGGATGAGACCAAAGAATGTACTTTCTAACCAAGCCCTTCAGGTGATTCTGATGCGGAATAAAGTAGGTGGGAGGGTGCCCTGGGGCATAGTCAGAAAAGTGGAGTATGGGTAAAGGATCCTAGGAGGAGGCCAGAGTTATCCTCATTGTTTTCCACATTTTCCTTCCTGCCCCATACCCTTGCCTTAGCTGCTCCCTGGGCAAGCCAAGGCTGCTGCCCAGGATGGCTTCCGGCCTCTACCCCAGCGGACAAATTCAGCTTGTCCGGGGCTCCCCCCCAGCCTCCAGTCCCACTGCGGAGTGCCTGCTGGAGTCCCCGCTGCCTGCCAGGAGGGGCAGGAGGCAGGAGGTCAGGCAGAGGCTGGGACACAGCTGCGGCAGCCCAGGGCTCCATTTCCTCCCCCAGCACTGGGCCTCTGGGGCAGAGGAAGCCCAGGCAGGAAGGCAGAGCTGCCACCAGCAGAGAGGCATACAAAGCTCCCCCCACCCCCAGCCATCCTGCCCCAGAGCCTTAGCATCTTGTGTCTTCATCTGGCACCACTCTTAGGCCATGGCCTTCTGAGCCTCACCCTGTGGGAAGACACTCCCGCCCCTCGCGTTAGTGGCCTCTATCTGGGGATCCAGTCCACAGGCAAACCCCTGCTTACTTGCCACCTTTCAGAAAGTCCTTCTTACTGTCTGACCTCAGTCCTTCTTGTTGCGGCCCTGGCCCTTATCTTCTCGTTCTAAACCTTTAAGAAATGAAGAAGTGGGTAACTTTGAAGCCCTAGTTGGTTTGGGACCAGGTTTGGGGACTGTCATAGACCAGAATTATTCCCCTTAACCTTCTCCATCCAACTTCTGGAAAAGGTCAACCTTAGCCAGCCATGGAAGGTCAAACATTCAGTGTCTAAGTGTGTTTCACTTCCCTCCCCACATCGTTGGCCCTGCCCCCGCCCTTTCCAGGACAGTAGGGAGAGAGGAGGGGGCCCGGGGATGGCGCACAGAGGGCCTCTGACACTGGCTGCAGGAGGCTCCTTTCACCTAGTGAGCCAGCACTGTGGGAGCTTGGTGTGGTGGCTACAGCCCTGAGGGCTCGGACACGGGCTGCCTCCTGGATTGGGAGACAGAGAGGAAAGAGCACTGGACTGGGAGCCTGGACACTGGGGCTGTGCTCCTGGTCCCACCACTGAATCCTGCCTGGACTTGGACAAGTCTCTTCCCCTGTCTGAGCCTTAATCCTGTCATCTCTAACAGCACTGGGCTTTGTGAGTCACTAGGTGTCCCCTCGGATTCGGATTCGGTCACAGGGCTGTTCCAGCCGCCGGTGGCTTCCCTAGACCCCGGGCCGCTCCGGCCTGCCCTGGGAATGTGTCCTGACCTCCATGCTGTGCGTGACTCCTGCCTGTTCTATCCAGACCCCAATCTAAACAATCTTGATTCCTGTTCCCAGCTTGGCGGGACTCTGAATGGCAGGAAGTGAAGACAGGAGCCTGTTTATGTTTGAGGCAGCCAGGGCTGGGGAGGTGGGGGGGCACTGGGAAATGGGTGGGCAGGGGGAGGCTGGAAGGGGATGGGCAAGAGGCAGAGGATAGAAGGGGGTGCTGCTGAAGAGATGGTCCTTCACCCCAGCCCCGAGCCCTCTGTGCCCTCCAGTTGTAGCTCAGCAGCAGGGTTATGGGGCTGGGAGTCTCCCCAAGCTCTCGGTCACTTAAACATGGCTCCCCACCCTTTACCCCTAACAGGATGGTTTCCATGGGGAAGTGAACCAGGACTTCCCCTGCAGGCCCCACCCCAAAGCCAGGCGCAGTGGAGTCGGGAGGAGCCCTGCCTGCCCCCCCGCCCCCCAACACTCCCAGTGATTTCCTCTGGGTGGGAGGGACCCACGGTCAGTGGCTGAAAACACTGAGGGGATCACATTTCACAGGTCTTACTGCACCCCCTCTCCTGAGCCTCTCTCCAGGACCATGAGCTTGGACCCCCCCAGGAGATGCCTTCTGATGCTACTGATGGCTTTGAACCTGACCCAGGGTGAGTCCTGTAGGGAACAGGGGCCTGAATGGAGAAAGGGGCTCAGCTCTTGCTGGGGCTGTTTGAGGAGTTGGGGAGAAGGGACTTTGGAGCTTGGCTGGAGGGCAGGAGACAGGCTACCCCAACCCTCTTCTGCTCTAGCTGGGGGGTGCAGAGAGTAGGGGGTGCAGAGAGTGGGGGGGTGCAGAGAGTGGGGATGTTGGCAGGGAGGGCCTGGAAGAGTCCTCAGGGTTGGGGCTGGGGCCAGGGCTGGGCCTGGAACTAGGGAGGAGGCGTTGGGGTCAAGGAAGGGATGGAGGCCTGCTTCTCATCGTCTCAGTGCCCCATGGAGGGAAGGATAATCTGAGGGTGGAACTCAGGGACCAGGGCCTCAAGGGGTTTGTCTGAACGGTCAGGGGGGAGAGAGCAGTGGATGTTGGGCTCAGCCTGGGGAACTGGGCTCAGAGTGACTGAGCTTCTGCTGTGTCTCCCAGGTGACCCTGTGAAGCCCTCTCGGGGATCACTGTTGACCTGCACGTGTAAGGGCCCACAATGCAGGGCGCCTACCTGCCAGGGGACCTGGTGCACTGTAGTGCTGGTGCGGGAGGAGGGCGGGCACCTCCAGGAACATCGAGGCTGTGGGAACTTGCACCCAGAACTCTGCTGGACACGCCCCAATGATGTCCTCAACCACTACTGCTGCTACAGCTCCCTCTGCAACCACAACGTGTCCCTGGAGCTGGAGGGTATGTCTGCTGCCTCAGCACCACCTACCTCACCTCTCAGACCCTGCCCTCTCACCCTGCTTTCCTCTCATGCCTGCCCGGAGGGTGGGGAGGCAGGACCCAGGGACCTAATGGCAGTGGCAAGGCTCGGGAGGGGAAATGTCCCGATGGTAGCCGGGTCTCAGTGTCCTCTCTCTGGCAGCCTACCCAACCCCGGAGCAGCCGCAAGAAGACAGCCAGCTGCCTCTGATCCTGGGCCCTGTGCTGGCCTTGCTGGTCCTGGTGGTCCTGGGTGCCCTGGGCCTGTGGCATGTCCGGCGGAGGCAGGAGAAACATCAGGGCCTGCACAACGAGCTGGGCGAATCCAGACTCATCCTGAAGGCATCCGAGCAGGGGGACAGCATGTTGGGGGTATGAGCATGGGGAACATGGGGCACGGGAGGAGCGGGGGGAGGAATAGGCAGAAGCCACAGAATCGGAGGGATGCAGAGTGACAGGTAGCCGAGAAGGGCACAATCACAGACACTCAGATGCCAGTGGGTGGGGAGCTGGGTGAGGGAGGAGCAATCAGCCACAGTAGCAGGGGCCAGGTGGGGAGAGAGAAAGGGGCTGGGTGAGGGACAGCTCTCAGTGGCCTCTTTGTATCTTCAGGACTTCCTGGACAGTGACTGCACAACGGGCAGTGGCTCAGGGCTCCCCTTCCTGGTGCAGAGGACGGTGGCACGGCAGGTCGCCCTGGTGGAGTGTGTGGGTGAGCAGTGGGTGAGCCTGGGGGATGGGGACCAAGGGCTCCCATGAGCTTGGAGGGGTAAGAGAGCTCTTGGCCTCTGGAGTCACAGACGGGGCCAGGCCTGGCTCAGAATGGGAATTCTGCTGGACACGGAGTCGGTGGAGACCGGTCAGGGCTAGGTCCTTCTGCAGAAGCCAGTAGGGAACAAGAGGCAGGTGGGGATGGCCTGCGAGCGGGGTGGGGGTCAGGATTAGGTTAAGCATGAGTGTCAGGGGTTCTGCAGATGGGTCAGTGCAGCTGGGGACCACTGTGCCCAGGGGCTTGTGTGACCTGCTCTCCCCTCCACCCCCCTGCCATTGCATCAGGAAAGGGCCGCTATGGCGAGGTGTGGCGAGGCCTGTGGCACGGTGAGAGTGTGGCGGTCAAGATATTCTCCTCGAGGGACGAACAGTCCTGGTTCCGGGAGACTGAGATCTACAACACAGTGTTGCTCAGACACGACAACATCCTAGGC